CAAGAAGGAAAGAAAGGCTAGAAACTTAAAGGTGGAAAAGGAGACAATCGGACCAGTTTGAAAACTAAAATATAGCAATCTATTTAAAAAGCCAAATATCTATTACTCTTGGTCAGAGTTTCTTGAGAGCAAAACCAGTGTTACCTAAAGAGGTCTTTGAAAATCAAGAATGTTCTAGAAGTGGTTAACATGAAGAACACCCCCAAAAGAGGACAAACCTTAAATTTCCTGATAGTTTTCTGCCCAACTTCATAACCAACTGTCTGAAAAAGGAAGAGAGGAAGGTTTTCTGTACATTAGTTTGAATTCTCTGATGGCAACTCATTACCTCTTCTGGGTAAGATGCTCTCAGCCTGATGCATATGGAACAATATTCATATCCTTGCCACAAACCAAAATAATAATAATTTTAAATGCTGCTATATATCTTTCTACAGAATCCTTCTCACACCTGGAAATGCTTTTCCGTGAGCCTGATGCATATGGAACAATATTCATATCCTTGCCATTAGGTAAGTTTCCCCCACAAACCAAAATAATAATAATTTTAAATCCTGCTATATATCTTTCTACAGAATCCTCCACACACCTGGAAATGCTTTTCCGTGGGGGTGGGGATGAATGGTAGCTTCCTATGCAGAAGGGTGTGTATAAAGTTGTGAATGAGTATGCACCTGTGCATTCAGGTGCTGGGGGTGGGGTAGGGGGTGAGGGGAGCAGGGGATGGCCACAACACTATTTGAGATATCCTGAAGAAACTAAAGCACAGGGTTTTAGAGATGGTTGGGAAGAGGGTATGAAAACAGGCCATTTTCTCCCTCTCAATTGTTAACATATAAGAATTTCTACAAAGTGTTTTTAATGCATAAAAATGGTAGATTTTACCATTAAAAATAAAATGTACTTTGGGAGGGAGAGTAGAAGCCACAAAACACAAAATTTTAGTAGGCACAAAATATTTATGGAGTGTCTTTGTGCCAGTAATTTTTGTAGGACCCAGGATACAGCTATGGACAAGGAAAATTAATTAGCTGCTCACAGGAACTGGCCTTCTACTGGAGGAGACAAATAAAGATATAATGTAGTGTTATTAATATCTCTATACAGGTACTTAAGGAAAATTCAGATATTGAAAAGAGCTATGTGGAGGGTACCTAGGCTAATGTGAGAGAGAGCACAGTCACTAGGCTGGGTTGAGGAAGGCCTTTCTAAGCAGGAGACACGTGAGTTGGGACTTGAACACTGAAAAGAAGGTGGTTATCTGGAGATCTGGGGGAAGAATGTTTCGGTAGAACAGTGAATGAGACAGCTAGCTCAGCATGACTGAGGGCAGAAAGCAGCCCAGTGTGGCTGGAATCCAGCGAATATGGGGACAGGAGAAGTTACACAGCGAGCAAGATCACCAAGATCTTCCAGGTCAAGTTAAAGAGCTGGATTATTTTTCTTTCTCTCTTTTTCCCCCCTGTATCACTGGTTTATTATAAAAGGAACAGCCAAATTGAGGTGATGCATAGGACAAGGGGTGGGAAAAAGGCACACAGCTTCCATGCCCACTGTAGGCTCACCACTCTCCCCGAATCTTCGGGTGTTCACCAACCCGGAAGCTCTAAAAGCTGGATTTTATTCTCTGGTATTAGGAAGCCATCAGAGGGTTTTGTGCCGGGGAATCATCATCTGATTTACATTTGGAAGGGTTACTCTGGCTGCCTAGTGTAGCATGGACTGGATGGGGCAAAAGTGGACCAGGTATGAGGCAGTTACCCGGCTGATCCAGGCGAGCAGGTTGTGGCAGGAGTGCTGAAAACTGTTCAAAACAGAGGGGCTAAGGCTTACTGATGGATCAGATGTGGAGGTCTGTGCCCAACTGAATAGTGTCCCTCAACATTCCTGTCTACGCAGAACCTGTCATTGTTACTTTATTTGGATATAGGGTTTTTGCAAATGTTACGATGTCAAACTAGATCAGGGTGGACCCTAAATCCAATGATTTGTTATAAGAAGTATAGTTATAAGAGGGGACTTTGGACACAGACACACTCGGAGGGAAGAGGCATGTGATGACAGAGGCACAGATTGGAGATCTGCAGACATAAAGTGAGTTCAGGCAGCCCAACTCTGGAAGTCTCTCCAGAGAAGGGCTCTGCTCTGTCTGAATAGCACGCCTGTCTGGTCCTGCCCAGGTTCAGTTACTGTGTTTGTTGCCTTGCTCTGTGTCTTTGATCACACCATCAGAGCTTGCCAGGCTGGCTTCTGCTTTGCCTCTGTACCCCGGAGGGAGGCGGCCGCAGAGAGGTGGAGGGTCAGAACGAAGGCATTCATGCCTGCAGCTGCTCCACAGCCTTTCATTTTAAATTCTGTATCTGCTTTGAAACTTACAGAAAGTGCAGGGAGGAGACTATCTCTGCCTCTGATTGTGTACTGAAGGGTTCTGTTCAAAGACCCTCCAGGATTTCAGACTGATTCTGAGCAGCTCGCTATAGAATTCTACTCCAGGGAATTAGTTTAACAATGCTGAGTAATCAATGATTCACCCCCCAGTCCCTTATGCCAACAGCTTTGGGGCCATCCCCTCATCCTCTGAGGGCAACCTCAAAGACTCACAGTGCCAATAACAGCACAGTATGGCAACACTCTAAGTGCATGCTGCTGGATCACCCCATTCCTTCCCTCTCACACACTGGCCACCCCACCTGAGCCTTGAAGGTTGGAGTCACCTCATGAGGATGATCAAGAGACACTAACTCCCCTTTCCTTCAAATTCTCTGCAATTCCATCCTCCCTCTCTTCCTTCAACCCTGGAGGAAGCAGCAAGATGTGATAGAAGAAATAATGGACTTGGGATTGTTTAATGGGCTTATCTCACTGAATGACCTTGGGAAAGTCCCTTCATCTCTCAGGGTCTCAGTTTCTTCTTTGGTAACAAGAGGTGCTTATCTAGATGCCTCTAAAGTCCCTTCCTCAGTGTCTCCTTGGACAAAACTCAGGTCTCCCACAATGCATCCTATACCCTCACTTCCCTGGCATCATCAATCACCTGCCCGCCGTCTTTCCTCTAGCACCTCAGTCTCCCTGGATCCCTCCCCTCTACTTACAAAAGCCTTTCCTCAACACTGCCACTCTCTCACATGTGACAAAGGAGGCATGTCTTTCTTGCTTATCATACTCTAGGAATCCTTAGAGTATTTGTAAGCAGGCAAGAGCTCTCAGCAGGAGGAATGAAGTGTCACCTTCTCAATGGTCCTGAGTGCTTCATGGGGTAGTGGAGAAATACCCATTCCATGCACTGACTGCACCCATGAGTTTATATAAGGCCCCCTGAATGGAAATAGACCACAACCCAATGCATTTTTTTTTGAAGTTTCAGTGATGCTGAGATGCATCAAGTGGATCTGTGTGGCACAGACAATATCAGCTCAGACTGTAGGAAAGGATGATGGGGGTTCTTAAGAGTCAAGTCACCAGAAGCAAAGAAGAGTCTGAGCTGGTGTCCTGGAATAAGTCCCAAGGCTTTGGGAATGTGGAAGCCAGTAGCCTAGTGAAGTTAGCAGAGATATGTACCAGCTCCAGGGGTGGCTGTTAAGACAGCAGGCTTCACAGGAGCATCTTCGTGGATCGGCCAAAGCTTATGCATTAGCAGCAGAGGCACCTGGAACCAGCAGGTAGGGTTTGAAGTAGTTAGGACATGACATCTGGCCTCAAGGAGCACTAGCAGGCAAGTAAGGACAGGGAAACAGCACTGGGAATTTGGAAATATTTCCAAGAGTTCTTTGCAAGATGGATTTTCCAACAATGCTCATATTGGATGCAGGATGGGGGAAGCAGTTCTCACATTACTGTCATTCAAGTATGGGAAGAAACCGGGCCCTGTCTTGAGGCCCCACACTACAGTCCTGAACCACTGGGCCTTCATGCAATAGATCTTACACACAGTGGGGACTCAGTCAATCTGTTCAATTGTTTTTACTTTTAAAAATCCAAGATTGTATATTCCCTTTATCTTTTGTGGATAAATATACTAACACAGACTTGCCGTTTATTGGAAGACTTTGGTATTTCCTGAGTCAGGAGATTCCTGAACCTCCCTGCCTTGGAATTTACCACACTTCTCCTCCCATCCTGCCCTCCCCAGGGTCTGTAACCACAAGACTTGAGGTATCAGTGAAAGTGTTTTCAGTTTAGTAACTGAGGACTGAGAAGAGAGGCTTGTATACACTTGTGGAAACTTCGGCCTCAGGAAAATGCCCTGCACAGGGCAACACGGGGCCCAGCCTTGGGGTACTCTCCCCCCTGGCTAGGGGTTGGCTCTGCCTGTCTGGTATGTCTTCCCAGAGTATTTCAGACAAAGTCTATTTGTATCATTTCAATGGAAGATGGTTGCTCAATGCTCAATGTTGAAACTTTCAAATAGTCTACTAACAATTCTTAAAACCTGATTTAGAGCTTCAAAGTTACTCTTTGTCCTACCCTGAAGCCTTCATGTCATCTACATAGGACTTCAATTCCCATATGGGAATTTCATCTTCCTTTCCCCCAGAATCCATACTTTGCTGATCAAGCCAACACTTACTAACTGGTATGCAATTGCCAGAAGACACAGAAGCTCCCAAGAATTCCATTCCCTAAGTCTATGTTACTGTCACTACTCATCAAGGGAGATAGACAAAGTCCTTTTTCAAACCACACATTCTGAAAGTATTTTTTATTCAATTTCCCAAGAAATGATTCAACAATCTAGAAATGATCTACCAGGTACTTGTACAAAAATATTATCTACCAAACTAGGCCAAAGTATCTTGGTTATTGTAACTAGGAATTCATGAACCATATTGATTCCTAACCTATCCTTTTCATCAAACATTGCCCAATTTTAAGGGCAGAGACCTTATTCACACAGTGAATAAGTATGGTGTGAAATCATGTTGGTTAGAAATATAATTTTCCAAAAGTAAACTAACTTCTTGGAATTGAGGTTCCACTGAAAGACTGTCAAGAATACTAACCCTGTGGAGCAAATGTGCACGGTGCTGAGAAGTGCTCTGTCTTGAAGAAATGATGGCCCTCGTGTGCCTCTCTCAATTCAAGCCAGCATCTCTGTCTTAACTCTTCAGAAGTAGAAGGCCTCCGGGTTAGAAGGCCTAGGAAATACACTACAGTGAAAGCATCATTCTAAGAGTTAAAACATTATAATTGTTATTGTTTATAGCTAATATTCATTCAGGGACTACTTATACCAGGGACTAAACTCATTTAACCTTTACAACAATCCTTTAAGTCAGAGCTATCCCCATTTTATAGAAAATAATAATGATATAACAGTAATAACTTCTATAGTGTTTATTATATGCATGCACTGTTCTAACCCTTTACACATATTATTAACTTATTTAACCCCAATAATGACCTCATAGAGTAGCAAAGTTTTTGCACTGCACAATGTTACCAGGTACCATTCACATTAACCATGGATGTGACTATAGTAGTCACAGGTTCTAATTTCCTAACCTAATATAGACTTCTAATTTCTAGAAGTCTAATTTATAAGGCTTCTAGAATGAACAAACACCTCCTGGTTGGCTAGCCTAGCTCTCTGGTTACATAGCATCTCATGCTGGGACACACATCACATCTGTACTTTCCCCAGGTCAGAAAAAAAAACACCCCACTGAATTGAAATATGAGGCCTGATGTACACTCACAGACACAGAAATTGGAATCCCACAAGAGCCCTCCAATTGCATGTTTCTTTTCTAGCGAGACCACATATTGCACAAAATTTGCTTTGCCTAAAGATACTTTAAATTAGTGAGTTTGGGGGTCAACAGCGATGCATTTAATTTTGGGACAGCACCTTATGTGTCTATTTGACTATTTCAATTTTTGCACATTCTAATATATATTCGTATATGTATTAAATTCAGATGGTTAAAAATGCACATTTTCTTTTATAAGAATAACTGACTACATGTAAACGACTAAGGTTGAGAGGGGTTCCTTCCTGTATTCTGAACTGGGCAGTTCAAAAGCTAGAAAGCATTTCTCAGACTCTCCTGCAACTCAGGTTCTGAATGCAAATTCGGGCCTGGAAGGTGGACGGTAGACGAAGGCCATTGCCAGTGCAGCAGCATCCCAGTGTCCAGGCCCACAGAGGCAGCGGCAGTGTCCTGATCCCTGATGCAGCGAGTGGGTGTCTTCTTAAGGCAGAACTTTCCGCAGCCATCTCTTACTTGCTCCCCATCCAGGACAGCAGAGGCAGCGCCCCCTGGGGGTCAAAAGTGATTCCTGGAAGCCCAGCCTCAAGCCTATGTACCCAAGTCCTTACAATAAATCTCTTCCCAAGAAAAATAGCTAATGTGTTCCCCACACCCAAGCTTTCACAGATAGCTGACAGCAAGTGCCCGATGCCAAATGCCCAGGAATTAGCCCATGATGCTCAGGAGCTACTTTTCCTGTCAGATGTCAGATGAGGGAGACAGTGCCTGAGCAAGTCTTGGCATTCAATTAAAACAGCATGTTCCCCATTTAGAGACACTGCATCTCGGGGCTCTTCAGGTTTGCTGTGCTGAGGCCTGCCTTCTAACAAACCTGCCTGATTTCTACGTCAACACTCATACTGATTACACTTGCTTTTCAACTCTGCCCACCCACCCCCCAGCCCCCAACAGAGGGAGAGGGAGAGGGGGAGAAGAGAGGAGAAGAAAGGAGAAGAGAAGAGAAGAGAAGAGAAGAGGAGAGAAGAGAAGAGAAGAGAAGAGAAGAGAAGAGAAGAGAAGAGAAGAGAAGAGAAGAGAAGAGAAGAGAAGAGAAGAGAAGAGAAGAGAAGAGAAGAGAAGAGAAGAGAAGAGAAGAGAAGAGAAGAGAAGAGAAGAGAAGAGAAGAGAAGAGAAGAGAAGAGAAGAGAAGAGAAGAGAAGAGAAGAGAAGAGAAGAGAAGAGAAGAGAAGAGAAGAGAAGAGAAGAGAAGAGAAGAGAAGAGAAGAGAAGAGAAGAGAAGAGAAGAGAAGAGAAGAGAAGAGAAGAGAAGAGAAGAGAAGAGAAGAGAAGAGAAGAGAAGAGAAGAGAAGAGAAGAGAAGAGAAGAGAAGAGAAGAGAAGAGAAGAGAAGAGAAGAGAAGAGAAGAGAAGAGAAGAGAAGAGAAGAGAAGAGAAGAGAAGAGAAGAGAAGAGAAGAGAAGAGAAGAGAAGAGAAGAGAAGAGAAGAGAAGAGAAGAGAAGAGAAGAGAAGAGAAGAGAAGAGAAGAGAAGAGAAGAGAAGAGAAGAGAAGAGAAGAGAGAAGGAGGGAAGGAGGGAAGGAGGGAAGGAGGGAAGGAGGGAAGGAGGGAAGGAGGAAAGGAGGGAAGGAGGGAAGGAGGGAAGGAGGGAAGGAAGGCGCACGGACCCTCCCAACAGCCTGAGCGAGCACCTGCGGCCTCGGACGCTGCCTCCTCCGCCGGGTGGTCAGGGGGGCGGCCTCCTTGCGGGGCCTGGAGGTGGCTCTGCGGCTCAGGGAATGGAAACAGTGCCGGCCGCCTGTGCAGACAGCTGGCCCCTGAGCCACGCAGTCCTCTCTGGGCCTCGGCTTCCTTATCTGAAGTTGGGGGGCGGCACTCACGTGGCCCGGAAGGGAGGAAGGGAGGAAGGGAGGAAGGGAGGGAAAAGGGAACCCTAGTAGAGGTAAGGAGACTTCACAGAGAAGCATATACAGAGAGTCCAGAAGACCTGATTCACCCTGAGGACAGTCCTGGGTGAATCAGGCCCTCTTTGCCCATGTTCAGAAGATAGTCAGCCCGTGAGAGTTTCAAAAAGCCCGTCTCTGTCTCTATTTGCCTGGCAGAACCTGAGCCTCATTAAAATGAAAACCTAACCACTGCAAAAGATTGTTCTATAGATTCAGAGTAAAAGGCTGACTAACAAAATAAAATAATTTAAATAGAAGATGATAAGCTATACAGGACTAACATGTGGCCAGTGAATTCATTGGTGCCAATAAATGTTCACAGTAATATCTTCATTCCGAGGATTTCAAGTAGCAAATTATTTGCACGCAGTGCATATACAGGGATCTTTGTATATAAAGTGGAGAGGCTACACTGGGGACAAAACAATATTTATATTCGGACTAGGAGGTCCTCTCCAGCTGTATAATGTTCAGTGAGCTCAGCTAACATTATAAAAGCCCATGACTTGTAAACAGCACATCCTCCTAAGGGGTCCATTTCTGCTTCTGGTTCCTGAAGATTCTAAGATCCAGCTCATATACTCATGTTTAAGAGCGAGGATTAACAGCATCCCAATCGCACAGTGAGTTCATTCATTAGAGCTTATTCCCTAACATCATCCCAGACACAAGACTGTTTTCTTTCATGATCACACCTAGGAAATGCTCTCTAATGAGGGAAATAAAATCAAACCAGCAGAGCAGCACACTAACCATCATGTATGATCAATTCTGTCACCAGCAAGGTAACTTTTTATCCTATGAGAACTTGCCTATGTATCAGAATACCATTTTTGATACATAGGCAAGTTCTACACTTGACTAACTTACTCTCTTGGTAAGATGAAGTGGGCAGTTAGGCAATGATCCCCAGACAGAATCCGAGTTGAGTTCTTGAACCATCTGAGACTCTGATCACATGACAGGGATGCAATGATCACAGTGGACAACCGGCAAAACATCAATGCTCTCTTCTTAGCATAATCTTCAAAAGGCACGGACAATTCCTTCAGCATTGGATAAATTAACCAACTCTACTCTAGGTTAGATATTATAAGAACTTTTAAAGAAGGCAGGGAAAAAACATACAATTAAAATATCCATTATTATCCAGCTTCAAAACTACAATCCCTGGAATTTGGCTCCAGATACTGTGGCATTGCTAATGCTAGAAAGCTTCCTTCAGAGTTCTAACAAGGATTTTTCTTATAAGATCCCTGGGAAAGAGTTCAAAAAGAACTCACCTAACTCATATCACCTTTCGCTCTAGAAGGAAGAGTTCAAAGGCATTTATAAAACTCTCTAAGCATTGCTCTTAGCTTGAATACTAGAGTCCCTAATAAAATATGTTTTTCACTGAAGATAAACGTAATAAGAATAAAATGGTTAAGTCAGCAAAATAACAGGACAAAATAAATGAAAGTACAAATAATTTTAAAAGGTTATTAAGAAACAACTCACATACTATGAAATTCACCAATTTTAAGTGCATAATTTACTAATATTTAGTTTAGAGGGCTGTGCAACAATAATCACAATCCAATTTTATAAAAACTTTTCAAAAATTTAGCAAGATAGTATGGTACTGGCATAAAGATATATATATAAATGGAACAGAAGTAGGAGTACAGAAATAAATTCTTACATTTATGGTCCATTGATTTTCTATAAAGGTATTAAAGCAATTTAATGGGGAAAAGAATAGTCTTTTTAACAAATGGTGCTGGAGCAATTGGCTGGCTACAAGCAAAAATGATTAACTTAATCCTAAATGTAAGGGCAAAAATTATGAACTTCAATAAGAAACATAGGAGAAAATCTTAGTACATTGGGATGGGCAAAGAATTTTTAGGAACAACATCAAAAGCAAGATCCATAAATGGGTAAATTGGACTTTATCAAAATTGAAAACTTTTGTGCTTCAAGAACACCAAAATACCCCTAGTGGCAATTTGTAGTAAATCCCTGTTCCCAACCCCAAGCCAGGCAGTCATGGATCTGTTTGCTGTCTTTGTAGATTTACTTTTTCTATATATTACATAAAAATGGAATCATACTGTGTTGGTTTTTTTACATCTGGCTTTTTTCCCTTTGCACAGGAGTCCTTCAACCTGCTGCCTGTTTTTGTAAATAAAGTTTTATTAGAGTACAATCACACCCGATCATTTGTATATTGTCTATTGCTGCGTTAGCACTATGAGGGCAGAGACCATATGGTCCACAAGCCTAAAACATTTACTATCTCATCTTCTAAAAAACATTGCTGACGCTGACTTATCATAATATTTTCGAAGTTCATTCATGTTGTAGCATTCATCACCATTCATTCCTTTTAAATGCAGAATAATATTTTATTGTATCACTTTCATTTTAGCCATTCACTTGTTGGTGCACATTTGAATTTTTTCTAATTTGGGGCTACTATGAATAATGCTGCTATAAAAATTCATGTATG